TACCCGGTTTACCAATGCGCCTCGTGTAACACATATGTACCTGTAATGTTATGTCCAAGGATGCAGTCAATATTTGTTACAACGATGCAGGCACCTCATCAGTTAAATTGTCCATTGTAATATACAGGGTTGAGATATTTTATGGACAGGAACATCCATATGTTGAATTCATTCGTAATTCTTGACACATCTGTTATAAAATCGCGGCGTCAAACTGTTTTAAGGCTTGAGTTGCAAATGACTAATTGCGTTTCAATTTATAAGTGTACTACAAACTCAAAACATTAATTTATTAAAATGAATAATAATAATTATAGACAGTGTCAGCAAGTTAGAAATTATAACCTACTTTAATTTTATTTTTTGCTCCACAACCAAGCTTCAATTTATTTTTTACTCGATAAACAAGCTTCAATTTTAATTCCACTGGGAAAGTAATATTTACCCAATAAATAAATTAGAATAAAGACTTTATTTTTTATGTTGCGATCGGCTATTTAGATAAATGTATATTTTTTATTCAGTTGTTTTTCGCTTTTTTGTAATTATTTATTTTGCATTTTTTTATAGCATATACAATTTGATTTAGACTATACCTAAAGTTAATAGTTTTCAAGATATTATTTTTTTTCGTTAAAATTTTGCTAAATTCACGTAAATCAAAAATAGCCTCTTATTTTTTTTGTTATTATGTTTGCTGACATGGGGTTGGAATTTTTGGAATATTAAAATATTGTTTAAATAATTTAATTTTTTGAAGGTTTTTTATAAATGTAAAACCCTGTATGTTTTAACATAATTAAATAGAAAATTAAAGAATCTTTCGATTTTTTTTTTTTTTTTTTTTTTGTATTATAATAATTGTTTCCTAAAGTTAAAATTTCAGAAACATTTAACAATTTCTAATATTTTCAATACTATTTTGTATCAACAAACCTGTGAAATTCTTCATGTGGGTTAATGTGACAGTATCCATGGTTACCACGTAATCTGTCATTGTTTAAAATTAATTAAAATATTTGATAGGAAAATTAATAACTCGAAAAATATTGACTTTAGGTATATGATATGGTATAGCAATTTTACTCAGAATTTTGTGTAGAATTCAAAAATGTAAAAATATATGAGATGTCTTGTTTAAAATAACAAAGTTAAAGACATTTCCGGTAAAACATGAAGTATTATTTTGTTCAAAATAATTTAGAAAAAAAGTCTAAATCGAATAATTTACGCTATTAAAATTTTAAATCGATGACTTTCGCGATTCCCTAGAAACTTCTAACGGACTACCTACGTGAAACACCTTGTATATTAAACGTCATTTATGTGTTATGCTATAGTTAATTATTAATAAAAGATACAACAATATTTGTATAAAAATGACAAAATGTACTAAACTAAACATTTATGATTACTGCATTAATTCAAAACTGATTCTGGTTACAGAAACATCATTTGCGTAAAAAAGTTAATATATCAAATAATAGTCAAATATCAATACTTTAACGTGTTTTACTTTTACAAAAGGGTTCAAAAAATAAATCCATATATTGTATGCTCTAAGTCTAGTACTATTTAGATAATTTAAAAAGTGTTTTGGTGCGTAGACTTGCGTCAATATTTGCGAATTAAATAGATGTCTATTCGGCATGTCAAAACTCCGCACTACTATTTACCCATGCTAAATTTGTAGTCGATAGAACAAACATCACCAACCTAGTTTATCCTTACTTTATCCCTGTGGAATAATAAATTTGCAAATCTGCCTCTTAGGTAGAAGTGTAACTAGCTCTATTTTAATCATTTTTTGCACTTGTGCAAAAACTGCATTAAGATTTGATTTAATTAACATAATTAACTGTTTGGGGAACTTAAAATGCAAAATCCTTTAGGTTCAAGTAACTTAAAAGTTGGCCTTTCAACGATAATAATCCCATTAATGACAAAGCTATTTCTGCGAAGCACCCTAATTAAACGATATTTTGATGTAACCAACTTTGAAAAAGTTTTAAATTTCCTAAATAGTTTATAGATCCCAGACAGCGAAGTCATAAAAAGAACGAAAAAAACGCTTTTAATATGTTTCTAACCAATTCCAACGCAACAATGATTGCACACTGTGGTAAAATGCTAATACTCATTTTAAATTGAATCTCCATAAAAAGTTTCTTTAGTTTTAGGTTCTTTAAAGTCTATTTTAAGTCAATAGGTTGCGATAACACATCCAATATAATATATTGAGACTAACTTTTTAAAATTAATTTTTTTTAACCAGGGATAACGTAAATTTAACGTCAATTTAACCACATAATTTACTAATTATTAGTGGCCGCTTTTTCGCTATGACATTTTTGACTAATTAATTTTTAGAGAGTAAGTAATATAGTGATTTCTTCTTCACAGGACATCTTGCAGAATAACTGTGATTTAAATACATTGCATGATAGAGAACATGAAAAACTAATGGCAACAAAATTAATAAATTCGGAAAATACTTTTAACATACCACCCGAAAAAATATTAGATATATATAAATCATAATTATTCTGAAAAAACTAAAAAAAGTAACGAAATAGACATTGGTATCACAACGGACAGGGGTACACAAAGGACTTAATCAGATAACGTAAAAAAGAAACTATATAGGGTGTTGTAGACACCCTTTTTCTTTGACTATAAGGTGAAGGTTCCTTTTAGTACTTTTATATTGCGTGGAATTTTTCCTTGGATGTAATCTACATCATGAGTTGTAAATACAAATAATTTTAAATTGGTTTATCATAAACTACTTTTAATAAAAGCGACGGTAAATATCCACTTTGTTGTCGAAAAATTCTATTGCGTTACCCTAAATTCCATTGCGTTACCATAGTGAACTCGGTAACGCAGTGGACAAAGTTTTGTAAAACCATATTTAAAAAATAATAATAAGACATTATAGTCATTAATTACTCTCAATGAGCTTTAGTGCCCTAAAATAAACATAAACATGAAAAATAGTATTTTTTCTTACCTTATTTTTATTATTTTTTTGAGTAACTTAGTGGACAAACAATTATTACATTCGCGTTACCTGCACCTGTTTCAACCGATATCTTCTTCCTGATTGAATAAATAAATTCAGCTGGGTAATGTGTACGTCCGAACATCATTTGTTGATCACGTGAGTACCAAAAAAGTTGCCATATATATGTTTTTTTTTTTTTTTTTAATATTCTATCGGTAACGCGACGGACGTAACGCAACGGAAAAAATGTCTGGGACATGAGTCAAATTTAAAAAAAATAGATTAAAATTAATTATTTTATATATAAATTGTTTACTGTATTAACTAAGGATGTTATGGATTGCTATAAAGCAACACAAAGTTCTGGTTATAAAACGCTAATGGGACATGCGAAAATGTGTGTTTCACAAGTTTCAAAATTAAAAAAAAATTATTCTGAAATAACTAAACAAAAATTTTCTGAAAGAGTTTACTAAGGGCTTGTTAGGCTTTCACTTGGTTTTTAAATCAATAAGATCCGATAATTTTTAACAAAGTTATTGGAATTCAAACTTAGGGACAGCGGAAGGCTAAAATCTTTAAAACAACGGCATATTTTTAACCATGACATTTTACATTATTAGTTACCATCGTTAAAGTCGGATTACCACCCCTTTTAAAAGAAAAACATTAAAAAAAACATAATTAATATGTATTTAATGCTTGTGTCGCGTGCCCAAAAAGTACAAAGAAAAGCAAACAATGTACCTAATAATAACGATTTTCATTATATTTATGTATGTATGTAAATCCTTTACAATTTTTTTTCCTTTAAATGTTTTTAAACGTTGCAGTTAAAATACTATACACTGGAAATACTAAAAAATAACACAATATTTTAAGAACACTCTTTTAAAAAAAATCCTGTATTAGTATAAAAATTTCATTAGTAGGTATATCGGTCCATGGTAAAAATCAAAGAAGAAACGAACGAGGCTAAAATTCAATTTAATACATATATGATTAGGTACAAAACCAATTGGGATAATTTAATTTAAAATGTGATGTATCTTATCGAATTTTCTGCGCCTCCGTCCTCTGAAATAAAGTGCCATTCATTCAGTGGCGGCTCTTCAAAATAAAGGAACAAACGCCTTTTGTATTCAGTTTTTTACCAATTAGAAGTGTATTTTAACTACACTTCTACATAATAAAAAGTAAAAAATAAATCAGTTCAACTATAAAAGGATGGTTAAGCAATATTCAAGAACTTTTCAAATATACATTTTCATTGGATAAAATTTTCATTAGATAAAATTTGCATTGGATAAAATTCTCATTGGATAAACTTTCCATTGGATAAAATTCTGATTGGATAAAAATTCCACTGGATAAAATTTTCATTGGATAAAAATTCCACTGGATAAAATTTGCATTGGATAAAATTCTCATTGGATAAACTTTCCATTGGAGATAATTCTCATTGGATAAAAATTCCACTGGATAAAATTTTCATTGGATAAAATTTCCACTGGATAAAATTTTCATTGGATAAAATTCTCATTGGATAAAATTTCCATTGGATAAAAATTTCACTGGATAAAATTTTCATTGGATAAAATTTCCACTGGATAAAATTTTCATTGGATAAAAATTCCACTGGATAAAATTTGCATTGGATAAAATTCTCATTGGATAAAATTTCCATTGGGTAAAAATTCCACTGGATAAAATTTTCATTGGATAAAAATTCAACTGGATAAAATTTCCATTGGAGAAAATTCTCATTGGATAAAATTCTCATAGGATAAAAAAAATATTTTTTACATTAACATTTTGGCAAGTCTGGCCCTTTATTTGTTGGTTTGGGCGCACTGTGCGGCGGTCAGCGACGCGCGTCGCCTCAACGTGACGACGCCCACGACGCTGGTGGGGTCGGCGCCGGCGCCCCGTCTGTTCCCGCGCCCTACGATCCTCCGACGCTCCGTAAGCGCCGTCAGTCGACAGTGTTACTCGCTTCAGCTCGCAACACACTCCAGCCTAGAACTCATCCAGAGGACGCTGAGCGCCGCGACGGCCTGTGAGCGCGCATCATGTGTCGGCGAAATTCCGCTCGCACTTTTTGAAGTAAGTTTTATGTGCCCGCGTCAAACAGTGTCCTCAGTTTTATTCGTTGATGTTTATTAAACCACCCCTGTCACCCCAAACACATCCATTGGTAAATATGTTTTATAATCATTTTTGTTTATTTGTTGTTTTTTTATCTATTGGAAATTAGCCTTTTCATTCATTCATATAGGCATTTAACTACGATTGCCTCCGATTTCCACGTTGATATCTGCATGAGGTTGTTCAGTAAACTTTACTTTATAAGTACACACAAACTTAGCTTCATATTCGCACATATGGAAAAGTTATGAATTTTTATTTATCGCGCTGCATGGCTAAATCGCGAGCGCTCGTACCTAACTAAGGCATTGTCTACGCACTTAAGATTTTCGTACCCACAGATCCATGATCATAAGTTTTAGTTGAATTTATTAATTATAATAAATATTTCAACATTTATTAATTTATTTGTAATATTATTAAAAAATATATACCAAGTATACTTATCCTATAGGATTAATAATTATTTACCTATTTATAACAAAATATTAGGTATTAATTAATTGATAATCCCTTGTTTTGCATCCTTAGAAGTAAAAACTATGTATTAGGCAAAACATATTCGCTCATTTAGGTAATAATATTTTACATATATAACGAAAGCAAATTTATCTAAGACTATTTCATTTTGTGATTTTTCAAAATGAGTACTTTCTTTTTAGTTTTTAACAGAACTATTTTTAAATAGTGACAAGACGTACCCAAGTCTATTGTCTGAAAATTTAAAGAGATTTCCAAATTTGGATGAAAATCACTTCACACTTGAAGAAGTTAAGGAATTATTAATGGAATAAATGTTAAAACTCATATTCATCTAAAAAAGGCATTTAAAAAATAAAGACCTTTATTTTTTTTATTCAAATATAGTTAATTATACCTATTAGGTCTTATTTAACACAGTAAAAAATAAAAAAATTAATATTTCTTTGCAATAAAAAAGTTTTTTGATTATTTCCTCAATTAATGCTCTAAGACTATCTAAAACGCATTTAAAAAATAAAAACCGGTATGTTTTTTAATTAAAATACAGTTAATTATAAATAATAAGCCTTTTTTAACAAATTTAAAAAATTAAAAAAATAAAATTTGCAATAAAAAAATTATTGGGTTATTTCTGCAATTAACGCACTATGAATATCTAAAAACGCATTTAAAAATTAAAAACCTTTATGTTTTTTAATTGAAATATGGTAAATTAAACGTAATAATCCTTATATATTATGATATATATTTTGAAAATAAACACTTTTTACTTTTATCAAACAATTAAAAACTATAAATTTTCCACTTTTATTAATTAATATCTCCAAAAGGTATAAATGTACATATTGCTAAAATCACAATTTCATAATTTATTCGAATCTCCAAAAAAGAGGAAGGTACATTTAAAAAAAAGGGTGTGTAATTTTTGTAAAAACCTGTATCTCAAACTAGACTCGAAATTGTACATTCAAAGAGACGTCTTTATTATAAAAAACAATAATAATCTTGTATAGTATACCTGAATACAAATCTGCAAACTTTTTAGTTTTTTGGTCTTAACTAAGTTAACTTTTGAATCAAACTTTGTATCTTGGTTTCTTCGTCTTTTTAATTTACATTTTAATTTTAATATGGTATACCTAAAGAAGGTAATAAAGTTTACCATTAAGTATCATTGAATCGGTGAGGTAAAGAACACAACAAAACAAGCCAAAATTTAAAATTTAGCAAATTGAATCGTCTAATTTCAAAAGCGGCCATCTCCTTTGAAGAATATTTTAAGTAAACGTCAAAAACACATTCTAAACAGTAATGGGTAGAAAATATATATATTTTGAAAAACTTATTCATATGGTAACTAAAAATATTTTTTCTGCAAAATAAGTAACTAGATTTAAGTTTTAATTAAAAAAACATATATTTCCAAAGGGAAATGGGCATTTTAATTACATTTTTGTACTTAGAACATCAATGGAGATGGCCGTTATTGAAACTAATATAAAACTTTAATAAAATATTTTCCTTGCAAATAGCCGTTTTTGTTGGGATATAATTTTGCACTAATATACTACATAATATTTCGATTTTATTAGTGTAAATAACTCATTTTTAAAAAAAATTGGAGATGGCCGCTTTTGAAATTAGACGATTATTATTTTATATAATTATTTTTAAAGTTTAAAATGCATTTTTTGAGAATGTTTCAACTATTGTACAAAATATCGTTATTATATTTTATAAAAAAGCATTAAAACTTAAACACACCATATTATTCTTAAACAAATTGAAATCCTCTTAATATTCTAGTGTTTAAAAGCATACTAAAAATATCAGTTCACACATCCAAAGCAATCGAATCAAATATAAAATATTATTAAAAATTAAAAGAAATAATTTTTATAACCATTTGTGTAGGTGTAAAAAAAATTGATTCTATCCTCCGTGAATCTGTTTTTGCTTTCAATTTTATGCAACGGATGGCGCTTTAATCATTTTAAATAAGCAAAAACCTCTGTTTACGACATTATAGATGCATGTGATTTATGAAGGTCAGCTAGAATTTATATGCAGATGAGAGTGTTGCTGTTTTATAATTCAAAAGTTTAAGTTCATTAATTTGCTATTTAAAAACCTATCCACCGTGAAGTGTAATATCTCAGTAAGCAGATTTTTTTATAAATATTTTATGTATGTACAATTGTATTTTTTCAAAATATTAAGGTGTCAAAATATACAATAACTTAAAAAGGGATGTTTAAAAAAAACATACGAAATCCTAACCTCCGTGAATAAAAGTTTAGGAGCGCTTTTCATAAAAATATTTTCTCATCAAATAGTTACAACCGCATTGTTTAACAAACCTTGGGAATGTAGAGACAAATATCACAGGTAGCAAATTATGTACGTATTAGGTAGGATTAAGTTTTCGAGTGTTGTGCAAATTACATAAGGCACGTTCGATATTAAAAGCTAATGTAATGTAGTCACATGATCAAGCTGGATGGAAATAGGTTTATCAGGAGTTTGGCTCCATGGCCTGATTTCCATCGAAACTGATAGGCTTCAATCATCTATCGAAATGTGTAGCAGATTTAAATAAAAATGCAACCTAATTACTGTGTGTTCGAAAAAGTAACAAACTTGATACAGAAAAAAGAGATTTTTGGCTTTGACCAGTGTAATAATATAATGTGCAGTAGTTTAATTAAAAAAGTGTTTTGTTACACTTGCTGGGTAATATGCAAATGCACATATCGCATAAATAATCATTCCGACAGAAATGTTATTATAAAAGTTGTTGACATACAAAACAAACAAAATAAATTGGAAAACTATAGGACGTCTATATGTAGCAAGGATAATATACTTATTTCTAGGAATTGAGATGTCTCCCAAGTAAAAATGATTATTTTTTATTTTTGGTTGTTTCACTGTTACATTCATAAAATATTTATAAAAAAAATCTACTTACTGAGATATTACACTTCACGGTGGATAGGTTTTTAAATAGCAAATTAATGAACTTAAACTTTTGACTTATAAAACAGCAACACTCTCATCTGCATATAAATTTTAACTGACCTTCAGGAATCACATGCATCTATAATGTCGTAAACAGAGGTTTTGCTTATTTAAAATGATTGATGATTTGCATAAAATTTAAAGCAAAAACAGATTCACGGAGGATAGAATCAATTTTTGTAACACCTACACAAATGGTTATAAAAATTATTTCTTTTAATTTTTAATAATATTTTATATTTGATTCGATTGCTTTGAATTTGTTTAATTTACTTAGTGAACTGATATTTTTAGTATGCTTTTACTACCTCAGATATTTAAAAACATATAGGTTAACCTAGAAGGAGTAACATTCACGGAGGATATGTTTTAGACTTTTAAAACATTGTAAAAATTAATTAATTGCGGTTAAAAATCTGGAACCTGAGCTGTAATATCTACTTAATTATGAAAGATCAAAACAAATATTTTATATTATTTCTATTACTTATATTACTAATACTAATTCCATTAAACGATTTTTTTTAGCTTCAATTAAATCAAATCTTTTAATCCAATTTAACTGCCTAAATGGTTTATAAAAATTATTTTCGAACACACAAAACCCTAGTTATAAAGCAGTACACTGGACAGTACAGTCTGGACTAATAGTATCTAAGTTATCTATGATTAAATCTTAATATTTAACTATACAGTATTGTAGAGTGCATATGTCAACAACACTAGAATAGCTATTGAGTTTTGGCATTAAACATGAACTAAAGCTTTTGTTGTCCTTTTAAGCTTGGTCATGTAAGGGTGTATCCTGAAACTATTGTATACAGAATATGTATATTACAAACGACACGAAGTCAGTGCCTATGTAAGTGTATTTTGCCAAGCGAGATAATTTATAGCAAAACAAGATTTTCAAAAAATTTCGTTTTGTTTTTCGATTTGCAAGGGTTCAAGAAATCGATTAAAACTTTTTTACCTTATTTCTACATCTAAATTTAAAAAAAAATCTCGTCCATTGACAACTTTGTTTTTATTTTTATTTTTTTCTTCACTGTGTTAAAAATAAAGTAATTTAATTTTTTTAAATAACTTTTTTATTTCAAAACGTACAGGTGATAATTTGATTTAAAATTTAACAATTTTTAAAGGGTAAATAATCGAAGAAGCAACTTTGTTTTATAAATTTGAGTATGCCTATAACACGTTAAAGTATTGATATTTGACTATTATTTGATATATTAACTTTTTTATGCAAATTATGTTTATGTGGCCAGGATCAGTTTTGAATTAGCACTAGCAGTATTCATAAATGTTTAGTTTAGTACATTTTGTAATTTTTATACAAATATTGTTGTATCTTTTATTAATAATTAAGTATAGCATAACACATAAATGATGTTTAATATACAGGGTGTTTCACGTACGTAGTCCGTTAGAAGTTTCTAGGGAATCGCGAA